TTCTGTCTTCATCAGGGTCTGTTTCTAAAAATTTTCCCTGTTCTTCATAGAATTGGCGGTACTGAGAAATTGCCTCATCTATTTTTCTGCAAATTTGATGGCTTCTGTCTTCATCAGGGTCTGTTTCTAAACATTTTCCCTTATATTCTTCAATAACCATGAAAAGTTCTTCTAATTCCTTCTTCGTCATCTTTTTATGCTGGCGGGTAGGTAAGATTTCTTCACATTCATCAATGTCTTCTTATGCTCTCTGAGTGTCCAAATTTATAAGATCCTTATTGGTTAGTTCTTCTGAATGAGCTTTTAGCAATTCTTGCACATTTTCATCGTCAATCTCAGCGAAGCCAAGTTCTTTTCCAATATGAGTAATCTCATTTATGACCTCTTCTGTATCTTTTGAAAAGCCTGTGATGTCCTGTGCACAGTGTGGAAGAACTGTCTTCCACACACCTTGCATATTTTTAACTGAAATTTCATTCCATGCTTGATGGATATTATCAGTAGCATCCTTAATACTGAATTTCCTCCAAAATTGAACTAGTGTCATAGAATTCTCTCCAGATGTTGCTTGAATCACTTGCTTGAAAGTCTTTCTTGGGTAGTATGCTTTAAAGGTCGCGATAACGCCCTGGTCCATTGGTTGCAATAAAGAGGTAGTGTTTGCGGGCAAAAATGTCACTTGGATATTTTTGCAAATTGAATCGAGACCAAAAGGATGACCAGGGGTATTATCTAAAATAAGCAAAGCTTTAAAATCTAAATTTCTTCTTCGGCAAAAGTCTTCAACCGTTGGACAAAAATACTTGACTAACCATTCTTCAAACAAAGCTTTAGTTACCCATGTTTTTTATTAGATTTCCATGTTATTGGTAATTGTCCTTGATTTATACCTTTAAGAGCTCTTGGATTCTGAGCTCGATAAACCAACATAGGCTTTAATTTCAAATTTCCTTTAGCATTACCACCCAATAAAAGGGTTAGTCTATCCTGTGCAGCTTTATATCCTGACTGGGAACTCTCAGATTTGGCCAGAAAAGTTTTGGAAGGCATCCTTTTCCAAAATAACCCCGTCTCGTTGACGTTAAAAATTTGTTCATCCGAATACCCT